TGTCCTCATACATGTCCTGTACCAGTCTAACGTGTCCTGCTGTCCTCCTGTCAGATGCTTTTTCTAAAACCACAAAGACACAATGGAGTTCTTTCTGACCCTCTCTGTTCTTCTCCATCATCATCCTCAAAACAAAGATGGCGTCTGTGGTGCTCTTTCTCAACATGAAACCATCCTGCTGCTCACAGATAGTCACCTCTCGTCTAAGTCTAACTTCAACAACTCTGATCTGATCTCTGATCTTCATCGTGTGACTCATCAACTTAATTCTCCTGTAGTTGCTACAACTCTGAACATCACCCTTGTTCTTAAAAATGGCCACCAGCACTTCTTCTCAATTCCTGAGGCATTTTCTCACCCTCAAATATGTCATTGAATACTTGAGTCAAAAACCTCACTGCCATCTCTCCAAGACATTTCCAAACCTTCACTGGTCATCAGGTCCTACTGCCTTCACCTTCTTCATTCTTTTCAGAGCATTCTGGACTTCACCCTCACTAATCTTTCCCACTTCCTGCTCCACAGTTTCTATGACCTCTACTCTTCTTTCTCTTTCATTCTCTTCATTAATTAGCTCCTCAAAGTACTCCTTCCATCTTCCGGTTACACTCTCCTCACTTGTTAGAACATTACCATTCCTATCTTTTCAACCCTATTTCCATCATGGGAGAAGAAGTGGAGGTGGTGATGAGTTAATAAATACCTAAATACCTTGGGGTTCACCTGGACAACAGACTGGACTGGACATGCAACAGTGAAGCGTCTACAAGAAGGGACAGAGCAGACTGTACTTCTTGAGGAAGCTGAAGTCCTTCAACATTTGCAGCAAGATGCTGCATATCTTCTATAAGTCTGTTGTAGAGAACACTGTCTCTTCTGCCATCATCTGCTGGGGGAGCAGCACCAGAGCAAGTGACTTAAAAAAGATCACCAAGCTCATAAAGAAGGCTGGCTCAGTTCTGGTGTCTCCTCTAGAACATTTGGAGATGACTGTACAAAGAAGGGTTCTTCATAAAATGATGAACATTATAGACAACCCTCAGCATCCTCTTCATCAGACTGTCATACAACAACAGACTGTCATACAACAACAAAGTGTCTTCAGTCATAGGCTTCTTCAAATCCGTTGTAGAACGATCTACAAGAGATCCTTCCTGTCCACAGCCATCAGCATCTATAACAACTTTTTAATGAAACCAGTATGATGAGTTACAACATTTAATTTCCCTCTGGGATTAATAAAGTATTTTTGAATTGAATTGAATCTCCTCTGTCGCGCCAATTGGTACGAGTCCATCTCACCCTCTTTAGTGTCCAGCCTCCCATACAACTCATCATGCATCTTCTGCTTTGCCTTAGCTACCTCCCTCTTTGCTCTACGTCCCATCTCCAATCAGCTACTTAGACTACAAGCATGTCTTAAAGACATAAAAACCTGGATGACCCTTAATTTTCTCCTGTTGAACAGACAAGACTGAGGTTTTGGTTTTTGGACCTGAGCACCTTAGGAAGGAATGTTTCAGTCTTTCTCCCTCCTTAGATGCATTAATCTGTCCTCCAGCTCTAATGTTAAAAATCTTGGTGTTATTTTTGATCAGGACATGTCTTTTATCCCCCACATTAAAAACGTTACTAGAACCTCCTTCTTCCACCTGCGTAATATCACTAACATTAGAAACATCTGATCTAAAGATGATGCAGAAAAACTGGTCCGTGCATTTGTCACGTCTAGACTGGACTATTGCAATGGTTTATTATCTGGGTGTCCAAATACTTCTTTAAAACGTCTTCAGTTGATCCAACATGCTGCTGCCAGAGTCTTAACTGGAGTTACTGGGAGAGATCATCTCTCTCCAGTTTTAGCTTCTCTCCATTGGCTCCCTGTCAAATCCAGAATAGAATTCAAAATCTTACTTCTAACCTACAAAGCTCTCAACAACCTAGCTCCATCTTATATTACAGATCTTATTGTTCCATATTTTCCTAACAGAGCACTTCACTCTCAGACTGCAGGTTTACTTGTGGTTCCTAGAGTTTCCAGCAGCAGAATGGGAGGCAGATCTTTCAGTTCTCAGGCTCCTCTCTTGTGGAACCAACTTCCAGTTTCTGTCCATGAGGCTGACACATTGTCCAGTTTTAACTTTCCTTCTTGATAAATCCTATAGTTAGGGTCGGCTTGTTATGCTGCTATAGACTTAGACTACTAGAGACAAACTGACCTCATGTCCTTAAATTAATTGTTAAAATTGAACAGTTTTCATTTGATACTATTTCTATCTTAACATGTGATTCTTGACCTGCCATTGTGTATCTATTCCTACCAAACCCAGCCGGTCGAAGCAGATGGTCCTCTAGTCCTGATCCTGGTTCTGCTAAAGGTTTCTTCCTCATGAGGGAGTTTTTCTTCCCACTGTCGCCTTCATGCTTGTTCAAGATGAGAGTTCAGTGATGGAGTTAAACTCAAAGCTGCTCCTCAGATAAATAATGTTCAACTATTATTTTATACATGAATGTTTCTGTTCAATTATTATTTTATAGATGAATGTTTCTGTTCAATTATTATTTTATAGATGAATGTTTCTGTTCAATTATTATTTTATACATGAATGTTTCTGTTAAATTATTATTTTATACATGAATGTTTCTGTTCAGTGCCTGCAGTGATTCTGTTGTGACTTCAAGCTTTAGAAATAAACTGAACTGAAATTTGTCTTAGCTACCTCCCTCTCTGCTCTACGTCCCATCTCCTTATATTCCTGTCTCCTCTCTTCAGTCCTCTCTCTGTCATATTTCTTCTTGGCTAACCTCTTTCTTTGAACATCTTCCTGCACTTCACTATTCCACCACCAGGTTTCCTTATCATCCATTCTCTGTCCAGATGACACACCAAGTACCTTCCTACCTGTTTCTCTAATTACTGTTGCTGTAGTAGTCCAGTCCTCTGGAAGCTCTTTCTTACCACCCAGAGCCTTCAACAGCTCCTCTCTGAATTTCTCACAACATTCTTCCTTCTTCATCTTCCACCATCTGGTCTTCTTCTCTGATTTGACTCTTTTTCTCTTCTTCACAACAACAGTCATTCTGCACACAACCATCCGATGCTGTCTGGCCACGCTCTCCCCTGCCACAGCCTTACAGTCTCCAATCTCCCTCAGGTTTCCACTTCTACACAGAATGTAGTCGACCTGCGTACTCCTTCCTCCGCTCTTATAGGTCACTCTATGCTCCTCCCTCTTTTGGAAACAGGTGTTGACTACAGCCATTTCCATTCTCTTGGTGAAATCCACCACCATCTGTCCTTCCTGGTTTCTTTCCCTGACACCAAACCTACCCATCACTTCCTCATCCTCTGTTTCCTTCACCAACATGTCCATTCAGGTCTGCTCCCATCACCACTCTCTCCTCCCTGGGAATACTCTCTATCACTTCATCCAGATCTTTCTCCTCCACATCACATCCAACCTGTGGAGCATAACCACTGACAACATTTAGCATTAGACCTTCTACTTCTACCTTCAGGCACATCACCCTATCTGACACTCTTTTCACCTCTACTACATTCTTTGCCAACTCCTCCTTCAGGACCACCCCTACTCCATTCCTCTTTCTATCCACACCATGGTAAAACAGTTTGAACCCTGCTCCAATGCTGCGAGCCTTGCTGCCTTCCACTTGGTCTCTTGGACACATAAAACATCTACCTTCCTTCTCAGCATCATGTCAGCCAGCTCTCTACCTTTGCCTGTCATTGTCCCCACATTTAGAGCTGCAACCCTCAGTCCTACATTCTTCACTTTCCTCTTCTCCTCTGTCTCCTGACATGTTTCCCTCCTCGTGGTCTTCCACTAACAGCAGCACAGTTTCCTCTGGCTCCCTGTTTGTCAACAGCACCGGTGGAGGTCGTTGTTAACCCGGGCCTGGACTGATCCGGTATGGTGTCGCTTAGATGGACTCATGTTAGATTTGCTAAGTGTTTTGTCAGATGCCCTTCCTGGCTCAACCCTCATCATTTACCTGGGCTTGGGACCAGAACCAGAGATCCACTGGCTGGTTCTCCATAGTGGTTGGATTCACCTCAGAAGATTCTGAAACCGAGGGATTTAAAGACCTTTAAAGATCTGATCTGTAGTGGTCCATTAACTGTGTTTTATTGTCTCTGAGGATTAAATAAGCCCTTTTTCAAATAAACTCAGACTGTACTCACCTGTGGTCCTTTGAGCAGTTGACCCAACAGTCGGTTCTGGTTCTGCTGGTCCTGATGTGGAGCCTAACAAAGCAGCTATGGTTCCACCTGTCCGAGCACCGTGGACTCGGCTCAGCTCAGCCCGGACTCCATCGTCCTCCAGCGGCTTGGTGTCGTACTGAAAGCTGGCACTAACAGAACCGATCTGAACCAGTTCAGACCCAGTTAATGGTGTCAGCCGTCCCAGGAGGGCATGTTGGATCCAAACCAAACCAGGAGCTGATGCAGAAAATTCTCCTTTAATCAAAATAAACTCAAACCTCCGGATCAGATCCAGTGGGCCGAGGCAGGGACATGTGTCCGCTCAGAGATGCTGAAAGTCGGCCAGCTGCTGCTGTCTGCCCCCGGAGGAGGAGGAGGAGGAGGAGGAGGAGGAGGAGGAGGAGGAGGAGGACTGCTGCGCAGATCTGCTGCTCCTCTTCAGACTCTGACCCATTTTAGTCTTTGTTCTCTGAGAGGGGGAGGGAAAAGTCTGCACACACCCCCGCCCCGACGAAACAAGCCTTGAAAACGTTGATTTAGCTCAGATCTCTAAACTCAGAACCGGGTCAGAACCTCAGATCCTCCTAACCTTCAAATAAAACCAGTTTATATCAGATCAGGAGGCTTCTTCAATAATTCAAGATCTGATGGTAAAAAACATAGAACCGATTCTTAGCACACTACGGAACCCTGTTAGAGCCACAGCCAATCCTTAGTACATCTAGGGTACACAGTTAGAGCCACAACTGTACTTAAGTACTTATACGGAACCCAGTTAGAGCCACAACTGTACCTTAGTACACCTATAGAACCCCAATAGAGCCAGAACCGATTCTTGGAACAGCTACGGAACCCTGTTGGAGCCAGAGCCAATCCTTAGTACATCTGGGGTACACAGTTAGAGCCAGAACTGTACTTAAGTACTTATACGGAACCCAGTTAGAGCCACAACTGTACTTTAGTACTTATACGGAACCCAGTTAGAGCCACAACTGTACCTTAGTACACCTATAGAACCCCAATAGAGCCAGAACCGAGTCTTGGAACAGCTACGGAACCCTGTTGGAGCCAGAGCCAATCCTTAGTACAGCTAAGGTACCCAGTTAAAGCCACAACTGTACTTTGGTACTGCTACAGAACCCCGTTAGAGCCACAACTGTACTTTGGTACTGCTACGGAACCCCGTTAGAGCCACAACTGTACTTTAGTGCCTATACGGAACCCAGTTAGAGCCAGAACTGTACTTTAGTACAGCTATAGAACCCCGATATAGCCAGAACCAATCCTTAGTACATCTAAGGTACTCAGTTAGAGCCCAACTGTACTTTAGTACTCCTTCGGAACACCGTTAGAGCCAGAATCGATTCTTAACACAGCTGCAGAACCAGGTTAGAGCCAGAACTGATCCTTAGTACATGTATAATACTTGGTTAATGGCAGAAATAATTGGACTCAATCCGTTCAAAACTTAGGCCATAGAAAAATTGTTTCAAACTCACTACAACCAAGTAAAATAAAAAATCCTATCAAAACTCAGAAACACAATAAAAATGCAGTAAAATTATACCGCTCCAAAAATATAAATTTAATAAATAAACTCATTACAGTAAACAAACACATAACATCTATCTAAATACAGTAGTCCCTCGCTACTTGACGGTTCGGTTTTCGTGGACTCGCTCTATCACGGATTTTCAAAGTAAGATTGGACATGACACACAACTGGCTGATTGATGGATTAACCACACAATCGGCATGGAATTCGTTTTCAGAATAAATTATTTTAAATTATTTAGCACCTGCATACAGCCCACATTGCAGGAGACGCTTCCTCCTGCAGCTGATCACCTGATCTCCGCTCTGCAGTGGAGAAGTGGGTGTGGCCGAGAGCTGAAATCTTAACATTTATCCTGATGCATGCTCAATAATCCAGGTAGAAAAATCTAAAAAAGTTAAATCTGGTCCTCTGGACATTCAAAAAAACAAAACAAAGCAAATCAACAAAAAAATGTAGAAACGTTTCGTCTCTCATCCGAGAGACTTCCTCAGTCTGAGGTGCTGTTTTCAGCTCAGTCTCTTAAGCCCTCTGTGAACAGTAATGCCTGATGGCTGTTTACTGTTCACGCTCCCTTCGTTCTTCCACTTCCATATATAAATATATATATACATATATATATGTATATATATATATGTATATATAAATATATATATATATATATACACATATATATATATATAAATATATATATATATATATATATGTATGTACACACACAAATACAGAAAGGTGTAATAAAGAAAGTACACTTGACACTAGTGGTTTGTGATTCTGACCTTTGACCCAGAAGCTTCAGGAGCTTTTATCCAGAAAGCTGGTTGAGAGGGAACTTTACGAGTTGTTTACATGGACATAATCAGATTAAACGGCCGTTTGGAATAAAAACGCGTCATGTAAACGCCTCATTCGGATTATTTTTTGTTTATTCAGCTCGATCCTAAAGAATGTGTGATCACGAGACTTGAGGTTTAAACCGATTCATAATCTGCACGGTGCGCACGTAAACACTTTTTTCCGTTTCCATTTTATTCCGATGGTGAAAATCTGACCTGACTGTGCACGTGACACTTTCTCATTTCCTCCTGGCTAATGCTAATGCTATTAGCACGTCGGGGACGCAGAACTGGCGGTGAGCGACATCATTTCTACCAGAAACTCTGACCGTGCTCAGAATGACGTGCACGAGCTGCAGCAACGTCTCCGTCATTAAAACGTGCCGCGGGTCCATTTTGGTGCTCAGCCTTGTTTACGTTCATCCAGGAAGTAGAACTTCTTCTTCTGTGGTTTTAAGGAGTTTACTGCTCGGCACACGTCAGTACTTCTGTTCTGAATAAAAACCCGCTGCATGTAAACGCTCGTGCACGGACTGTGCCCGTGTAGATTTGAATTATTTAATCTGAAAACATTTCAATCCAAAGACGTTTGTGCATGTAAACATAGCGTCTGTGTTCCAGATGTTTGGTTCCACATGGACAGAAGTGTGGTCCGGACACGTTTCCTTGTTTTACAGTTTTATTCAACGTTTAGCTCCACATCACGAAACGGTCCTGGACCCATCTGGACCTTCTTTGCTCCATCAGAGCAACGTGAGAAACGCTCGTCACGGTTTGTTAACGACACCAGAACCAGAACTGGGTCCAGTTTAGAGAAGAGAAACAGATCATTTTGGAGTTTGACACTTGAGGTTAATGAGTTTTGTCCCAAATAGGCTCCTGTAGTTCCCTCTGTTTATGCTGAAACTTGCTGTTTGGATCTGTTGGGTTTTGGACGCGTCTGAGATCATTCCACATCGAACATCTCCACGTCACCTGGGTCTACAGACTCCGCCTTCTTCTTCTTCATCGTGGCGACTGAGGATGAAGAGGAGCTCTTTGTCTTCTGTGGTTCTGCTGCAGCTTCAGCTGAGGATGAGAGGTTTCAGCTTTAACATAAACAGGGTCCAGACCAAGTGGTTCAGGTGTTCTTCACCTGAGAACCTGAAACAACCAATCAGGAGTCGGATCAGGTGGGTTACCTTCCATGGCTGAGCCCTCCCTCTGCAGGTGCTGCAGCTGCTTCAGCAGCTTCCTCCTCTTCTTCCCCGACAAGGTGATGTTCGCTCTGGGACTGGTCCTGCAGACGGACACAGGTGAGGACAGACCGGTGAGACAGACAGAAAGGTGGACAC